CTCATTAAGTTTATTGATTTTGTCGATTTTATTTTGCTGGACATTAAAGTCTGTGCTTCCTACATGCAAAAATATGTCTGCCGGAGTTCTTTTGGTAGTGTTATGTTTAGTTTTATGATTGTAAACAAATAGGATTGTCTCAAATTTTGTACATCTATCCACTATGTTTTGTTCGCTGCCAATGATTCTTAGTTTCTCGTTTACTGTTTTGAGAGGTTCCATCTCTATATCGGATACTCCGTTTTTACTTGTAGTGACGGATATGTTTACGCCTTCAGATCTTAACCAATTCTGCAGATCTATGCACATGAATGCTGAGTCTTTGTCCGCTTTTATTTCTTGTGGTTTTCCCATGTCATTAAATATTTTCGTTATAGCCCTCTTTGCTTCTAACCAATCTATACTTTTTACCTCAATGAGTGATGCAAATTTCGTATAGATGTCTATGCATGATAGAAATATTTGGTTTCCGGTGAGATAGAAATCTATTTCGTATTTTTCTCTTACGTTGAATATTTCTGGAGTTGTTTCAAATGTCAATTTCGTATTTCTGTGTTCTGTTTTCGCTATATTACAGATTTTGCATTCGTTAATGATATTCTGGATTAATTTTTGGCTATCTGGGAAATAGTATTCTTCTTTAAACCAGTTAGTGGTTTTTTCTATTTCAGAGTGTAGAACTTCTTTGTCTTTTCAATATTAAATCTTTAAATTCGTCGTAGGTTAGTATATCTATTAGTTTTTGGTACATCTTAGTAATTTAGTAAAACTGTTAGGGCTTATGATTTCAGTGTATGCCCTCTGGAAAATCAGAAAATCTTCGTTATTAGGGAAGTAAATAGCGCTGTTCTTAGTGCACAAATATTCCTTAATATTTCGTTCCCCAGACGATAGCTAACAATTCTTTCTCGATATAGTAAATTATAATATCGTCCAGGTATACTAGGCAGTCCTTGTAGATCAAATCTTCCACAAGATTGTTCATACATCTCTGAAAAGTTGCAGGGGCATTTTTCAAACCAAAGGGCATGCGTGTATATTCATAGTGCCCGTGTTTGGTTGAAAAGGCTGTTTTCGCGATGGAATTCTTATCCATTTGAATTTGGTGAAAACCTTTGGCTAGATCAATCGTTGTAAAATATTGGCATCGTCCGAGTTTATCCATTCTAGGGATGGGGAATTTGTCGTTGACAGTTATTTCGTTGAGATTCCTATAGTCCATTACTAACCTAAATTTCTGTTTCCCAGAGGCGTCTGCCTTCTTAGGGACCACCCAAATGGGAGAACAATAAGGCGATTTCGATTTGTGATTTGTCTTTTTATCGGCCTATTATTTTTCACGTTTAAAGTTGAAGGTTGAAAATTGAGAGTATTGTTTTGTCTGCCTTGATTTAAATCCCTTCTAAAAGTATAATAATTTCCCCTCTGATCGGGAGGTATAGAACAAGTCATGTACTGATTTTGATTGGTCATAAATTGATTTGGGGTTTGGATGTTTATATTTTGATTTGTTACATGGAAGTGAGTGCCATAACTATTATGTCTGCTGTTAAAGTATCTTTGATTCATATTTCCTCTGTTCTTCTGCTTATGCCTGTCTAATTTTTTAAAGTATTGATTTTCGGGGTTACCGTCGTATAGACCTAACTCCATCGTGGCTTGTTTTAATTTAGCAATGGTATCAATTTCTTTACGCGCTAATGACATGTACATTCTATCTGGCAATTTTCGATCTATAGTGGTTTTAATTGTTCTCTTTAACATTTCAGCTTAGCTTATCATTTAGCTTATCTATGGGGTCATTTTCTAACTCTAGTTTGACAAAAATGTTCCAGTATTGTAATTCTAATTTTTCTATAAACTTACTTATGCTACCAGGGTATGTTGTTTCTTCCAATTGTCTCACTAAGGTTACATATGGTCTACGGTCCTTGAATGATGTTGCCAGTGTTGTTTTGATTTCCATCCATGTCGTTGCTCTTGCTTGACAGTGCTGAATCCGTGATCAGGCGTTTTACTGCTCCATATATTACGTGTGCCTGCCTGGCATCTTGGGTGGGGTATAGGTTTAGTAGTTGCTCGACCTGGTTGACAAATCCGGATAATTTGCCAGGTGTGCCATCGTAGTAGTGTAGTTCTTTGATCTGGCCCAGTAGTTGATTCAGGTGGTTTTCGGAAAGTTGTGGAACTGCCATATTGTAATTTGTTTGTTGATTTCTTGATGCACAGAGTTTTTTGTGATTTGGTTTATTTAAACCCACAGAAAAAATGTTATAGAATTTTGTTTCTGACCGCACGGGATTTTTTTTATTAGTTTGCAGAGTTTATCTGACCACACGGGATTTTTATTGATTTGCAGAGCTTATCTGACCACACGGGATTTTTTATTAGTTTGCAGAGTTTATCTGACCACACGTGTTTTTTTTATTATGAGATTCTTTTGCGGATCCATTTAATTTAGAAATCACTGTTTTAATTCGCTGGTCAGGTTAGCTAGTTGTATAGCATATCCTGTAAATGACCAGTACCGTACTAAAGGACTTCGTATTTAATAATGATCCTACCGACTGCGCCAATTATATGTTGGTAATTTCCATAAGTCAAAAAAAATATAATTTTTATACACTGAATAATTACAACACTTTATTTTTGGAGAACACCGACCTTCTTAATTTAAGTCTCAAACTGAACTCTTCTTATTGATCTAGATTGATTAACGTTCAAGCCTCGGGTTCGAGCTTTTCAAATATGGACTTTGGATTTTTAGGATTAGGGAGAGAGCTTTGGAGTTATCAGCATTTCTCTTGGATTCAAGTGCGTTCGCTCTTGCATACAAGTGCTCTTAGATTCTTCAGATTTTGTTTATTTGAAATTTAAAACTTTTGTTTTCGAGTTTGCGAGTCCGAACTTTGAACGTGGGAACTTGACAATTAGGCAAAGGATGTTTAGTCTACCAATGGGTGACTTGTTTAAATAACATCCTGTATTCGTATTACTTGGGGGTTTTCCGCTTGGCTTTGGTTCGGGGATTCTGCTGACGAGTTCATTCTTATCTAGGGGCTGAGTGCATAAAGGGTAATATGGGGTATGCTGATTTACAATTGCAAGGTATAGGGTAGTATTGGGTATGCTTGTTGTGTGTGTAAATAAGTAGGCATGTGCTTAAGTCTAAGCGACTTATGGATATCACTATATATGTTTGAATATCCCTATTCCTTTACAAAAATACCATTGGCCATTTACCAGTATTTAAGTTATATATCGCTTTTGGCCGCACTATTATTATTATCGCCTCTTGGTAAAAAGCTCTGTCTCTCTCTCTCTCGTGCAATCTTTTTGATCGTTTTGATCTTTGCTATGTATAGCTCGTGGCAAAGAAAATATACATACAAATATAAAATAATACAAATTATAAACATAAAAATACACATGAATAATGTTCGAATGCAACCTTCTGCAACTCTCTAAATTCGAATTTCCCTGATAGATCTGACCAAGGTTTAGCTATGACCGCATATCCATCAATATATGATGATAATCCCAGAAATCGTTATATAGCCTTTCGATTGCGTTATTAATTTGTTTTTAAAATAGGTTAAAAATTAATATTAAAAACAATTTGAATGAAGTTTGAACACATTTTCCTGTGTTATTTTAAGTTTTCAAGTGACTGTGCTAATCGGCTGTCGCAAAAATAATAGTGAATTTGGTTTGTTTGTTTACATTAATTTAAAATGATATTAATAAAGTTAGTATCCTATCTTTTATTAATTTTCGTGTGGAATTATATATTCTTTTAAGGGGAAAAAAATTTATTTGAAAAGCTTTTTTAGTTTTCCTGATATTAAGTTTCTAAGACGAGCAGCATAGGGTGTGCTAATCGGTTGTCGCGCAATCTGACGTGGCTGTTCCATCCAATAAGGAAACCCATGAACCGTCGTCTCTTTGTAGTCCCGTCTACTGTTCTTCAAGTAAGATGGTCGGCTGAAAAACACGTTGGATTTAGATGACCGAAACTTAATCATAGTTCCGAAGGATCACCAAGTTACTATGGCTATTATAGAAAATATAGGAAAGCAAGGTATTAAACAAGTCCGTTACTGGCACCGATTTCTGAGGACCAATTTTTTTTACATTTCCTGTAAAAACATTTTCCCATTTCCAGCGTTTGTGTTTCATTTGCTTCGAAACCAAGGCGATACTTTTGGAGTTGAACTAGCTATCTTGTTCTTTAAGAAGTTTTCTGGAAGAGATAGAGTCGCCCGAGTTTCGATGCTAGGAACAACAGCAGGATCGGAGAAGCGAGCAATAAAAAAACTGTGCCTGCTACCCCTTAAAGGATTCCGCTAAAAGACGGCGGCAGATCTTAAATTTATTTGTTGTATATGTCAAATTGAAAAAAACAATTGTGTTAAGCGGCACATCAGGTGTGCAATTATAGTGTTCCTTATCTACGTAAATATGCAGAGAAGCTGCGGGAGTACCTAAGCTTGCCGCATTCTCTCTCTCTCTCTCTATCTGTCTTGTACTCGCACTGTTCGCTCTGCAATTAAGTCTCTCGTATTCATTTGATTTCGTAACCTATGCTTGAGCGCATTGATGCCAAATGTTGCCGTAATTTACAAGAATATAGTACATTCAACCGAAATCGCTACCTTTAAATCGTCGTCCTATTATTAAAAAACGCTAATACAAAAACTAAACAGATATGGTATACCAAAATTATAACAGCAAAACCCTATTATATTTTATGTTTTTCATTTCAAAGGCCCCATATGGAATAGTATTTATATATATTTTAGTAGCACAGTGCGCCATCATTTTTATTATTTTGGTAGAAAATGATTTTTGGGTCAGGCAGCAGGCGCTTATTAAATACAAACCTCTATTTTTAACCGTACCTGATTTTATACATACAGACTTACCTTTAAATGATTTCACGCTTCAACTTATTAAAAGATTTCCTAAAAATTTGTATTTTGATATTATTTTAAGGTCAGGATGAAAACGAATCTCTGCTGAAGATTCAAGCAAAACTAGATGACCTGCCAGAGTTCTTGAATACAACGGAAGCTGATTTGCAAGAAGCTTTACGAGAGGGAAGTCATCTATTTACTGAAGTTCGAAAACTAGACCTCGCATTGGATAAATATTTAACGCAAAAGTTTCGTACTGAGGAAGAAATTCTAAGGCTAGCTCAGGATCACTTAATAACAGACAAGGCTACCGCTTACCGTTTGAAACTATTAGGTAAATCTCAGGAAAAACGTCGAAATGTCGATTTATCATTATCTAAAGTTCAAAATCAATTGTCAACATCAATGCTTGAGGTTGAAAAACTTAGATGTGTAGTCTTTAATGAAAGAGCCTATAATGATAGTACGAAAACCAAATTAAAAAATGCAGAAAATAAATCTATTACTTTGGAAAATGGTTTAAAAAAGATACACATTCAAATTGAAATTAAAATGAAATTATTCGAAAAGATTAACTGCAAAATTGAGGAAATGGATCATTTATTTGGGGATGCCTCCGGAAATCCAACAGATTTAAAGGTAAATGAATATTACTATCTTATAATCCTTTTACTCGTAAAGTAAACAATTTATTGATAAGTTTGTCAAAGGTAAAAAGAAGCATAAAGTATATATATATAATAACGAGATCGCGGTTGCGGTGTTTTTAAAAAAAAATATATAATTTTATTTCAAGGCAAAAATACATCTTTGAATCGGAGAATGAATTAAATCTAAAGCTGGAATAGGAGCTGAACGCTTAGCAAACCCTTGGCTGAATTTGTTTATATGGAGCACAAGTGGCTCTCTTCTATGTTCAAGTGGATGGCGCCCTTTTTAAGACAGTTGAGCATGGAAAATTAATTGCTTATCGGTATCGGCGGATGCTTATGTCTATAAGCCAATATGTCTATAATTGTTATGTTATCGCGGCCGAAGTTGTTATTGTCACCAAGAATTAGGGGTCTGACTTATGTGTTGCTATTCAGTTTGATATTGTGTGTGTGTGGTCAGTTGGTACTGTGGTACATATGTACTAATATATGTGTCTGTATGTGTATGAATTTGTCAAGTGGTTCAATGGTACATATGTCACTACCCCAGTCTTAGAAATTAGCCTGTCCTCAGGCGGATAATCTAGGATACAAAATAGGGTATACATTATTTTCGTTTTCCGTTTAAACTTTTTCTATTGGTGTATTATTTGGTTGTGGTTGCATTTTCGTTCTTATATTTTACAATTATTTTTCGGGAAATGCCTTTATTCTTATAAATAAAATATGTTGTAAGTGCAAGTAAATAATTATAAGTTATAAAAAAGTATTGTGTGTACTTGTATTATTTCTTCTGTTTATAAATATGATAATGGTTCTAATTTTGTTACATTATTGTTTACATTGTATGTAAATGGTTTGAGTATAATCTAATGTGCTTGTTATTAAGATATTATCTATTTGAACAGAACAATTAAAAGCTTTTATTATGTTATCTCCTTCTATTATAATTTCTCTATTACTTATGCAATTTTGCAATTTTTTAAAACCATTTTTGATCATTTCCAAGTTAAATTAATATTTTGCTCTATATATATTACTCCAAGATTATTATGGATTTTAGAATATCTTCACTCTGCTGGTGTTTGATTAAGAATCCCTGTAATACATTTATTTAATATTGGTTCTTTGGAGTATTGGTCTATAAACTTGATTATTTTGAATATAAAATTTATCATGAACATCTTCTATTAGTAGTTTGTTATCTTTGTCTGGGTATGGTATAATATTTAAAAGTGCTGTTTTAATGATATCTTTAGGAATATGGGATACATTAGGTATTTCATTTGAATCCGATTTCAACCAGGTCCAAGTTTTAATGTTCAATAATTTTTCAGAATTTACATGTGATAAGGGGTCGTGTTTCAATAATTTGGAGTTAGAACTGCCTAGTATTGTAAGTTGAATACCGAGTTCTGTCTTCAATGTATGCCGTGAAATGTTGCAAATTGAATATTAAAAGTTCTAGTCTTTGATCAGCTTCATAAATTCCGCTTAAATGATTTATTACTTCAATACCTCCATTAACTGCTTTTATTACTTCGCTTAATTCATTAATTTGAGCTGAGTTTTGGGAAAAATTATTGATTTTTTGTTCAAGTTCTTCTTTATCATTCTCATTTAACGTGCCAAAAAGATATTTACATGCGGTACCCATAATATTTATTAAACCACGCTTACTGCGTTTTAATATTCCATTCATTTCCCATTCTAAATTTTATATAATTTTTCTGTTAAATATTGGATTTGGGCTATATTCTTTAGCTTGTTTAATTAAATCGTTAAAAGTTTGTTCAGTATGTGTTAAATTTACGGACAAACAGTGATATTCATAGTTAATAGGTATATTAATTGAGCCTGTGTTGAATATTAGATATCCATTCTTAGCTTGTATTGGGTTTACTTCTAGGTTTTGACGATGCGTTATTGTGATTAGCTGTTTAATTAGGTTCCATTTGGGATTGGGGTGTTGAGCGGGAATCGTACTTACGTTTATTAATTTTCTTTTGTTTCTTGAATTCAGATTTTTAATGATCAATTTTTCTTCCTCTATTTGTTTCTTCATAATGTTTGTCATGTGTTTGTTTTATTTGTCCTGTTTTCTTAAAAGGGTTAGTAGTTTTACTCTTAACTAACGGTGTTTGTCTATATCTAGTATCTACTTCGTAACTATGTCAATTTTTATTCAGCTTATCTATTCTATTGATTTTTTCTTGTTAGGTGTGATTTGCGGGTGTTCCTGCATAAATGAAGATATCAGCTGGTGTTTTACCAGTTGTATTATTATGTTTAGTTTTCTGATTATAGACAATTTCAAATTTTGTTAATTTAATTTCTGGGTGGGACTCACTCTTTATGATTCTTAACTGTTCGTTAATAGTTTTGTGGAACCTTTGAATGTCAGAAATTCCAGTTTTGCTTGTTGTGGCATTTATGTTAACATTTTCGGACTTTAGCCATAAATGTAATGCAGTACACATGAATGCTGAATCTTTATCGGGTTTTATTTCGGACGGTTTTCCCATGTAATCAAAATTTTTGTATAAAGCTCTTTTTGCTTCAAGCCAGTCTCTAGAGCTGACTTCAATTAAGGCGGCGTAATTGGAATCAATGTCAATGCATGACAAAGTCGATACATTTTCTAGAGTTAAATCATAACTATGTTTAGTGTCTCTATGTTTTTGTTTTGCACATGTTTCGTATATTTCGCATTCATTAATAATGTTCTGTATTACCTTTGGTAAACTGGGTAGTAATATTTTTCTTTAAAAATGTTAATTTGTTTCTCTATCCCTGGGTGTAAAAGATCTCTGCGGGTTTTTATTGCTATTTCTTTAAATTCAGAATATGTTTGGTTATCTATTAATTTCATGGCTGCTCTCATAACTTTAGTTATATTGTTCGGACTGACAATTTCTATGTAGGCGTTTTGAAATGTAATGAAATCTGCTTCGTTGTGAATGTAAATTATGCTATTCTTTGTACACAAATATTATTTTATTAATTCTTTGGCATAGGCATTCGTAATTTCTCCATAATGAATTTTAAATATTGTTTTGTGGAAGTATTTTTTTATTTCGTTAATAATCTTTATTCTTTAATCTTTATCTTTAATTATCTTTAATAAATTCTATTTGCCCATTATAGTAATTTATTGAGTTTTCCGTTAGGGAAATATAAGATTGGTTGTCTCTTGAGCGCTATGAGTGGTTTCACTAGAAGTTTCTCGGAGAGATTTTCTAAGAGATTTTCTTAAATTTTTACTCTTGATAGAGCATCGGCTACATGATTTTCTTTACCTGGGAAATATTTTATGTGGTAATCAAACTTATTTAATCTGATTTTCCACCTTTGAAGTTTCATATTTGGTTTTTTTATTGAATCGAGCCATATCGAGCTTGTGATCGCTTAAGATCTCGAACATTCTACCAAAGAGATAGGACCTGAAATATTTAGTGGCCCAAACGACTGCAAGGAGTTCTTTCTCTATTAATAATTAAGTTCATGCTCGTTTTGAGTTCTACTTGCATAGCATATGGGTCTACTGACCCATTAAATACTTTTAATGAAAAAGGCATTTTAAAGTCAGGATGTGTGAGTATTGGATCAGACGTTATTAAGAGTTTTAGTTTTTCAAAAGCTAAGTTATTGCCTGAATCATTAATGGGTTTGATCTGATACCATCTGTTGATATTATATGGCCTAAGAATTCAGTTTCTTTCTTTAAAAATTGAATTTTTCCAGTTGTAGTACACAATTATGTCGTCCATGTATACGAAACAGTTTTTGAAAATTAAATCTTTTAAGAGATTTTTCATGCAACGCTCAAAAGTTGCAGGTGAATTTTTTAAACCAAATGGCATTCGAGTATATTCGAAATGGCCATTTCTAGTGGAAAAAGTTGTCTTCGCTGTTTTTCATCCATTTGTATTTGATGAAATTTTGTATATGACAATTACCAAGCTTGTCTAATATTTCAACCATTACAGGTATACTGGTATATTTGTCGTCAACGGTTATCACGTTGAGGCTGCAATAGTCAAAGACTTTACGAAATGTTGCCTTTCCCGATGCGTCTTTTTTTTTTGGTACTACCCAAATAATAGAGCAATACGAAGACTTGGACTTTCTTATGATGCCTTGTTGCATCATGTCTTTCATTTGATGTTCGACTACTTCATCATATATTGGGTCCTCATGTTTTGTATTTATTGAATGTTTTACTGTACTAGTGAAGGTCAAATTTTAACCCTCCCTCTACTGAATGTCTTTAAAATCATGCAAAACCTTTGTGACGGATATATCCTCTTCGTTGTTTAAATGGTCAAGTCAAAATTTATTTTGTAACGAGAAGTTAAACTCTGCATCATCTTTAAATTCATGCAAAACCTTTGTGAAGGCTATATCGTCTTCATTGTTGAAATGGTCAAGTCAAAATTCATTAAATTCCCTTAACATATTTTGTAA